GTATTAGGGAATTTATTCTGAAACTGTTTAGTTATAAATAACATGAAAGTAATACTAAATTTTGCCAAATTTTAATCTTTTAATTATTGTTTATTTCTTAATTGTTTAGAAATAAGATTATCTGTTTCAATCTTAAGTCAAATTTTTCTATTTTTCAATATATTTTGTGAGTACACTAATCATGATTTAAGTGATGATAGATAGAGAATTGAATTTAAAACATGAAACCACATTAATTTATTTACTCAAATTTATGTTTAATCAATTCTTTGATTCTAAAATATAATTCTTTAAAATTTAAAATTGAGTATTCTATGTGCATACTGTAGTATATGGAATTTTTAGAAATTTATTTTTAATATACTTTGAAAATATAATAAACAGTTTTTTAGAAGTAAATACCGAATTATGAATACATCTAAGTACAGTATTCAAACTTATAAAATCAAAATTTAACAAATATTATGGATAAATATTATGGTTTTATTCCTAAATGTGTGGGTTTTTAAAGATATTGGGGACTCAAATTTTTTCTATTATTAATGAAATTTTAATTTTCAAAATTATTTTGTCATTTGGTTTCATAAATTCAATTCTCTCATCTTAAATCATTTTTTTACTATATCTTAAAATTTAGTTTGAAACGTTATATATTCTGGATTGTTTCCAATTCAAATAATTTAGATAACCTCTTAAGATAATAGCATAACTGAAGTAATGAATACAGTTCATTAAAAAAAATTTTGTTTAAAGTGCAAGTCTACAATCTTGACCATTTGAATTGGAAACATTACTAAAATAAATTATAACAATTCAAGTGGACGTTTGTTAAATAATATTCACTATAATTTAACTTAATGTTTAACAAAAACAGAACATTTTTCTCTACACTTAACTTGTAAGTCAAAAACATTGTTGAATTCTTTAGACCCAATCCTGAACTTCTGTTTCTATGAGAGATGAGAAATGAATAAACACAAAATTCTTTCACTAAATTATTCATAAACACTTTTGTGCTATTGTGTTTCATTTTGTTTTACAGTAAAAATATTAATAAAACGGAATTATTGATATACAATACTATTTAATTACGGTTATGTAAATAGAAAATTAATTCGTAATTATCAATGATCTGGATAACTACAGTAGATAACTCTTGACATAATATAAAAATAATTGCAAAGTCAAATATTCCATAAGGTTCTAGAAACTAAAAACTTTACAATTTGAACTATTCTTATAATTATAGAATGAATTTATCTTGTATAGTTTAGAAATGTTAGTCAAAACCTTCAAGTTTGCTCATACATATCATATCATATTTTAGCATTGGTATAAAATAGGTAAAATTTATTCGGTCATTTAGTCACTAATACAATATCTCAAACAATTTTATATTATTTTTCTAATCATTTTCATATAAATTTCGTACAAATCATAATAATTATGACAAAAATCAATAGTTGAATGCTATATTGAAAATGTCTTTATAATGGGAGACAAAGTGAACGGTTATGCCTTCTGTTATAAATTGTGGTAAATCTGAAAAATCCTTTTTGTTTTCTTCTGGCAANGTAAGTCAAAAACATTGTTGAATCCTTTAGACCCAATCCTGAACTTCTGTTTCTATGAGAGATAAGAAATGAATAAACACAAAATTCTTTCACTAAATTATTCATAAACACTTTTGTGCTATTGTGTTTCATTTTGTTTTACAGTAAAAATATTAATAAAACGGAATTATTGATATACAATACTATTTAATTACGGTTATGTAAATAGAAAATTAATTCGTAATTATCAATGATCTGGATAACTACAGTAGATAACTCTTCACATAATATAAAAATAATTGCAAAGTGAAATATTCCATAAGGTTCTAGACTAAAAACTTCACAATTTGAACTATTCTTATAACTATAGAATGAATTTATCTTGTATAATTTAGAAATGTTAGTCAAAACCTTCAAGTTTGCTCATATCATATCATATTTTAGCATTGGTATAAAATAGGTAAAATTTATTCAGTCATTTAATCACTAATACAATATCTCAAACAATTTTATATTATTTATCTAATCATTTTCATATAAATTTCGTACAAATCATAATAATGATGACAAAAATCAATAGTTGAATGCTATATTGAAAATGTCTTTATAATGGGAGACAAAGTGAACGGTTATGCCTTCTGTTATAAATTGTGGTAAATCTGAAAAATCCTTTTTGTTTTCTTCTGGCAAACAGATGCAGTCGACGCCCACTCTCTTAGCGGCGATTATCTTCTCTTTAATGCCTCCGACGGGCAGTACTTTACCGGTGAGTGAGAGCTCTCCTGTGAGCGCAAAGTTTTGTTTGACGGGTTGGTTGAGGGCCAGAGAGAGCAGTGCCGTAACCATTGTGCAGCCGGCACTGGGACCGTCTTTAGGTGTGGCCCCTTCTGGCACATGGAGGTGAATGTCTGTATTCTGAAGCACACCATTGTTTGGATCCAATTCCAAGAGGAATGACTTCGCGAAAGAATAAGCAATTTTAGCGCTTTCTTTCATCACATCTCCCAAATGGCCCGTCAGTTGCAGATGACCTTCACTTTCACGATCGGTATCCGACTTCTTAGCTACCAATCGCTTCAATTTAGCCGTTTCTATAAAGAGAGTCGAGCCGCCCATCGCAGTCCACGCCAACCGGTAGTGGTGAGGCCCTCCGCAGAGTCACATGTATGCCAGCACTCACTTGTCTCCAAACGGTTGTTTTAGAACATCTAAGCCCTGTAGTTATAACTGACGTACACAGTGAGGTAAGTGTTAAACTTCTGCACTTTTCCTCATTATCTAATCAAATGACAATTTCATAGCAAAAGTTCATTTAATAATTCTATAAAAATCCCTAATTTTGTGCACAAACTTGAATACCTTTTCGATATGTTTCTGAAGATTTCTAACTCCGCTCTCTCGACAGTAAAATTTGATGAGAGTTTGCAAAGCATTTGGTGTTATTAAAGCCTTTTCATTGTTAAGACCCGTCAGGTTATGCGCTTGAGGTATGAGATATCGCTATAAAAATAGGACAAGACTTTCATTATCTCTATTTACCATTAATACGACATAAAAAGGCAGACCTCGGAAATGGCGACCTTCTCTTCAGCCACATAACCGGACACTTCAATCATTTCCATTCGATCCCTAAGTGGTTCAGGAATGGTGTCCAACACATTGGCCGTACAAATGAACAATATTTTAGACAAATCTGTGTCCATCACCACTCCGGGAGGCGTCTCAGTGTACATACGGTCGTGAGTGAACAGAGGTTTGCCAACAAAATCTTGTAGATTCGGGACATCAATATTGACTGCATGTGTCACTCCATTCACAATTTGAAGAGCACTTTTCCTCATTATCTAATCAAATGACAATTTCATAGCAAAAGTTCATTTAATAATTCTATAAAAATCCCTAATTTTGTGCAAAAACTTGAATACCTTTTCGATATGTTTCTGAAGATTTCTAACTCCGCTCTCTCGACAATAAAATTTGATGAGAGTTTGCAAAGCATTTGGTGTTATGAAAGCCTTTTCATTGTCAAGACCCGTCAGGTTATGCGCTTGAGGTATGAGATATCGCTATAAAAATAGGACAAGACTTTCATGAACTCTATTTACCATTAATACGATATAAAAAGGCAGACCTCGGCAATGGCGACCTTCTCTTCAGCCACATAACCGGACACTTCAATCATTTCCATTCGATCCCTAAGTGGTTCAGGAATGGTGTCCAACACATTGGCCGTACAAATGAACAATATTTTAGACAAATCTGTGTTAACGTCTAAATAATAGTCTAAAAAGTTTGCGTTTTGTTCGGGATCTAAAAGTTCGAGTAAAGCAGCGGAGGGGTCGCCCTGATAGCCACGACCTATTTTGTCCACTTCATCGATAAGCACCAATGGGTTCTCACTCTTAGTTTTCTTAAGGCACTGTATTATTTTGCCGGGCATTGCGCCCACGTATGTACGTCTGTGACCCTTAATTTCTGCGATGTCTGTCATCCCTCCCACACTAAACCTGAAATACTATGCATTCAAATGAGAGTTAATATCTAATTTTAAATACTATGCATTCAAATGAGAGTTAATATCTAATTTTATTTAGTAATTCAATTTAAGACATACTTCTCTATTGAGAGCCTTAGCAATAGACTTAGCAATACTTGTTTTGCCGACACCGGGTGGTCCGTGAAAGCAAAGTATCTTTCCCTGAGTCGTACCCTTCAGTTTACTGACAGCAATGAACTCGAGAATGCGTTTCTTCACGTCATCCATACCGTAGTGGTCGTCGTCGAGCACTTTAGAAGCCTTTGCGATATCCAGGTTCTCATCGGTGGACAGACCCCATGGCATGGATGTGAGCCAATCCAAGTAATTACGGGTTACACTGAATTCGGACGAATGGTTGTCCAAAAACGACAACTTATTCAGCTCTTCATCAATCACTTCCATGACGTGTTGAGGAACCGTTAGATCTTTAATCTTCGCCCTAAACTTCTCTTCGATGGCGTCCTTGTCGTCCTTCTCGAGACCCAACTCTTTCTTAATGGCTTTGAGCTGTTCGAAGAGCATATACTTCCTGTGCTGTTGCTTAACCTTCTCCTCCACTTCTTTGCCGATCTTTTGCTGCAATTTACTCAACTCGTACTCCTTTTTCAATAGATTTAACGATAGATACAATCGTTTCGAGACATTTGTCTCGTTGAGTATCTCTTGGAGTTCATTGGGATCGGCGCCCGTCAGGGATGCGCCCAAATCTGACAGGAAATTGGGATTATCGATCACTCGCTGTCCCGATTGGATCATCTGGAGGATTGACTCGCGATAGAGTGGATTCATTGATATTATGTCGCGAATAGTTTTAACAATTTCTTGTGTCAATGCTTTGATCTCTTCATTCATGACCACCGGCTCGTCCTTCAAGTTCTCGACCTCAACAGCAAGAACTGGTTCTTTGCTCACAAATATGTCATTAGACGGCAACTCTTTTTCTACTTTAACGCCATTAGATGAACGCCTTTTGCGAATTGATTTTCGCGTCACTTTGTCCGCAGGTTTTGTCGACTTCTTCTCGCTTTCATCTGTGATTTGTCGCACAATTTTGATCCTTCGGTGAGCCATAAGAATAAGTCTTAGTTTTGATCCCAAGTCTTGCATTTCATGGATTTGAGCGAAAGTGCCGACAGAATGCAACTCTTCTAATGTGTCGACGACTTCCGAGTCTTTGGACGAGTCTTTAGTCATGAAAATGCCGACAAACGGATGATTCAGTTTCACTATACGTCTCATACTTTCCATAAGAGATTGGTTTGAAATCTCGATTATTTTGATAAATCGCGGAAATACAGGATTCCTATGAATTGCAATGACAGGCACTTCAGACCATTCCTCCGGAACAGTAATGGCTGCCAAAGAGGCTGTCCTTTGATTGTCTTCCATAAGTCGGTCGAGTTCTTCAGACACTTCTTCCTCAGTCACTTCGGGATTATCTTCAGGTTTATTATTATTATTAGACTTATGTCTCATTGGATTCAAACTAAGACTCAATGTCTGGACATTTTGCAAAACACATTCACTTCGATGTCTCAAATGATGTCCTTTTCTCCAATCATACCGAAGACAATACGAAGACATCGACCGAACACTCGTTGAATGCAAACACAGATAAGAGTTTGGTTTAAGAAGTTTGGCCGAAGACATGAATCGATTCAAGTAAACCACTCTCGACGCCATCTTATAGTGGATGCAGTGGTTGTATGGTATGGCGAGAAGATAATGGACACCACTTTGAAACACTTTCTCAAGAGTTGGATTCAATTGAATCACATGTCATGCGATAGAGTCATGCAATGCATGCAAACATTGCATTCATTGAAAACATTACTGTTTTATACGAATACCGATAAGTGAATGACAAACATAGCCATAGCCCCTATGCTATAGTAGTGAACCATTCATGCAATTAACACACAATTTGTTCAATAAATATGTTTTAATGACATAATTGTATGAATTAATCGTACAAATGATGGCTATTATAATGGATTTAGAGATTAGAGTAAACATAAAAGACACTTAAGAGCCATAAAAGAAATCCCGTGAGAGTGAGAGCGAAGGTGTGTTTGGATGAAGTGATGGCTCCTAAGTCTGGGAAACCCATGAGATTGCAGAAGGAGTGGACCAGAATGGGAGATATGATGAGCCGGGACTTGAAGTAGACGACAGAGGCGTACATCCCGAACAGTGTCGTGTATGTCATCTGTTCCAGTGCTGGTCCGTAGTTGCGTGCCGTCACTCTTCGCATGTCATTGATCTCAAAGATATAGTGATGTGAATGAGAGAAACCAAATAACAGGGAACTCATGATTAGAGTTGATCGGAGGGACCAACACTTCACCAGAAGAGTACTCAACACACCTCTGAAGATGAGCTCTTCAGTGATCGGCGCTATCATGTAATTACGGATTACTATTAAGTCTATTGAATAGATATTTCGATAATTGAAGTAAAAGTCTTTGGATTGCATTAAACTAACAACTATTGGACCCATAAATAGTACACTTGTTTGCAGTAATGGTATTAAAATGCAATTTAATATCAATTGAGTTGATGTCATGTCTTGGGGCCAAAACAGACCCAAACTGACGGCCAAACTCCCGATACTGTGATCGCCATTGAATACAATTAAAACAATTGTCGACAAAAGTATTGCACCGAAAACACTGACAAAACGCCGCTTTATTGTCGCCGGATTATCACTAATTGGTTATAAACTAACCATTAGTTTCAAATGAATCAAACATTGACTGTTAGCTAAAGACTTACCGATGAGTTTGTTTTGGCCAACAATATAGAGATCCCACGTATAGGAAGGATACCAGACATGAGAGTATCGTGGATGTGATGATACACGTGTCCATTGCAGTCACATCTAAACTGGACACTTACCGTACACTACAGGTATCACCGATTGAATCAAGTGACCAAATATTGCATCAAATGTTAACAGCACTTGTGTTGACACTTTTGAAACACTGATAAGTCATGCGCTTTCATGCCATCCCTCCCATGCCTTACATCATAGCATAAATTGAATAAGTTAATGTCATTTACCCAAATATATGGCACACCAACTGCCATTAGTCTACCTGTAATCAGTACAGTATAATCATTGACCCTGGTCATGTCAACAATCAACACAATTCAGCACTTTGTATAAGAATAGGTATAAATAAAAGCAAAATAATGAAAATATAGAAAAATGTATTGAAAAATAGGTTAAATTTAACTTTCTATGAATACTGTATAACAAAATTGTATGGTTTTAACTATAATATAAACTCAATTATTATTAAAAGGCTATAAATAGTTGCAATGATTTCAATAATTGCAATGTTGTGTCATTTGTTGTGATAAAGTGTTTGAAACACCAATTGATTAAAAACTTATTTAATACAATGTATATAAATATGAGTAGAATTGCAAAATAATTAACAATAACTATAATTAAGACAATAAAACGACAAATAATAGGAAGAATACGAAGAGAATTGCGAACACTTTTAATATAAGCCATCGATTGTTAGTGACGGACGAGAAGTACTGAAGCAGTGACTGGTGGGCGGCCTCCACGTTGAGGGACACGTCGTTCACATTGGCGTCGATTCTGGTGATCATCTCTTCCTGTTGCTGAACCATTGTCGCCAATTGCGTGAAGATTGTTCCCAACTCGACAATTGTCGACTCAATCGACTGCATGGTCGACGCTCTCTCCTCCAAGTAGTCGTTGCTCTGGTCTTCGTATATAAGCAGTTGTTTCTGTTGTCTTCGTTCGTCGTCTTCCCGATTACCCACCAAATCGTCGCTCAAATCAATGACTGTTGAGTTGGCGTGCGATGGCATTACCGCCGATGTCGTGAACTGTTCTCTCCTGAGCTTCTGTTGAGCCATATTCTGCACCAAAGGATTATATTTAGTGACAATTAATTCATTACATCAATGGATGTCTCACTTGAGTCCTAAGCTGAAGAGTGTTCTTAAAGTTATTGCTAATGGAGGCCAACTGGTGCTGAAGAGTGAGCACCACATTCTTCGAGTGGTTCTCAATGTTGGCGCTATTCTGTTGATGCAGTTGTTGTAACTGTTGCTTAGCTGAAGAGTGTTCTTAAAGTTATTGCTAATGGAGGCCAACTGGTGCTGAAGAGTGAGCACCACATTCTTCGAGTGGTTCTCAATGTTGGCGCTATTCTGTTGATGCAGTTGTTGTAACTGTTGCTGACGTAAAGACTCGATCTGTTGGTTCAGTGAAGTGATGTCCTGTTTCACGATATACACCAATTCATTCAACTCTCGAGAGGCCTCCTCGCCGTCGAAGATCGTCTTCTTCTGGGCCAAGATATTGATTTTCTCCAACTTCTGATATGTCGCGAACAGATCTCTGGCCACAGATCGCGAGCCTCTCATGAACTGCACGTAAGTCTTGTAATGAGGCGAAGATTGTAGTGAATTAGCAACGGATCCGTTGGACCACTTGTTGTGAGTTCTTCGGGACCGCAACTCATTGTTCATATACTGAGGTTTGCCTTCAATGGACTTGACCGTCGAGAAGAACTCGTGAGTCCTCTCTCTGGCCATCACTAGTGGGATGTGTTGTGGGATGTGTTGGATGTGTTGACAACGGACTGACCAATGCTTTGAAAGCACAACAAAATGTCATTCAATTGACTGATGATTACAGTTTGCAGTCAAAGCAGTCATATGTTTGCAATGCATTGCATTATTACACGTCATACTGTCATGCACTCAATACGCACTCCTATGCACAACACACTCACACTTCACTGCATTACTCACTACAATTGCAATGCAGGGAAAGCTACTTTCTAATTCCTGGTACCCTTGCTAATTCTAATAACTGTAAGCGAATACTGTATTATATTAATAGTACTTTATTATTTAACTGTAAATAGAATTGTTTGGATGCAAATTATTCAAATGCATTCTAGGTTTTTATAAGAGTATCAATAAAATAACCTTAATTGTCAGTAATAGGTTTATGGTCAAATATAGATACTAACACGACGTGTATTTGGCAATACAGTAATTATAAATTCAACACACATTACATTATTAATAATTGAGTACGATAAGTTAATCTTACTTTACACTGCACTGGATGTTAGATCATACAAATAATACTGTAGAGATATAGTATTTATTCGGCTGTGAATTTATTTAACATTTTAACTAATGTTAGACCTTAAAAATACATCTAACAACTTAAATAAGCTAAGAATCGGTATTTTTATTACATATTTGATATTATTTGTAGGGTTCGTAAGTTATTCGCAACTTTTTAGACTATGATATTTGTTTTAAACTCACCAATTATGTGTATTATCAATACTGTACCGGTACTTAAAATAATGTACATACATATACTGTAATAATGTATTCTATATAAGTTTATATTAATACAGTAGAAGTTTACCTTTATAATTTATAAACAATCAATAATAATATTGATTTGTTGATCATTGAACTGAGGATTAAAAACAAGTAAAATTGTTTTCCTACGTTTTTTCTCAGAATATAATATTCTGTACAATTATGTACTTGGATAATTTTATAAAGTTGGATGCTTATTTATTAATACCTACAGTACTCTTAATTATAGTGTTTTAAAATGAAATTCTCTGAACAAGAAATCTCTCTCTCTCTCTCTCTCTCTCTCTCTCTCACTCACTCACTCACAAATTGTCAGTAAACTGTTGGTCAGTATTATTAAGGATTTTAAATGATAAACAAATATCTAAGATAATATTGTTTATCACATACAGTGACCCCTTATCACAATAATGCTTGTGACTTCAATAAGTGAATGAATTAAAATGTTTTTTTTTAATTTTTACGGATAAATTCTTTGAAATCAATATACAATATTTTTTGAAATATCAAATGTAGTAATATTTTATAATTTTATTGCTTAAGAGTAAATTCTCGAAAAGATATTCCTTTCATATAAGAGGGAAACCACAATCAGATTAAATATATTTATTTCGAGATTTTTGTATACTGTATATAATATATTCTAAAACATGGAACAAAAACTTGTGGATATTATAAGGATAATAATGGGAATAGAAAATGATTGTGGTATTAAATGAATGGTCATTAGGTTGTCCTTCATGGCACTGATATTATGAAACCAATTCGTTTAAGTTTAGCCCTCCCTATAACGGCCCCGATCTTTGAATTGACTCCAAACTAAATGTTTATTTAAATAAAATTTTTCCACTTCTAATGCCACAAATGAATTGAAGTGTTGCTTATAAGTTATAGCAGAAATATAGCTGTACATTATAATTGCGATAAGAGTCTGGACTTTCAAAGAATTTTATTTAATAAATAAACTTTTATGTCAAATAAACAGTCATATACCTTTACATTGATTTGTATACATTTACAAATACGGTAAACAACACAATTATATTTAGTTGATAGATATAATTATTATATTGTTTATTAAAATTTAAAATATTCAAAGAGTAAGTTTATAATTTAAAATGTTACTATATTCCAGGTTACTGTATGAATTGTTTGAGTAAACGATCACTACTCTTGAGTGTAAAATATTTTTATTAATTACTATCAGTTGTGTTCATTAATGACATCATTGAAACTTATTTTATCTCTTATGTGATAAATAAAAAAGTAATTTTGATTGTGTTTTGAATTACGAAATCATTTTTTCAACATAACAGCTTTATGATTACTGTATATATGAAATTACTCTTGTTTTATAAAACTTAACTAATTTAAGCGAATAACTGTTTATATTAGACTACCAGTACAGTGCTGTATTTGTTAATACTGATTATTAAGTGTAAATTTCTGTTTTTGATATTATTTCATAAAATTTTAAAAACCTTTACCATTAATTTATAATGCTTAAATTGTTATGTTACGTCAAAAATTGAGCATGTTAAGTAACTTATTGTATGCTATAAATTATAAATGTCTGCAACAAATAATCTTGTGAACAATGGATCTGTTGATAATTTATAGTTGAAATAGTTGCTTGTTGTTGTATATTCTATTAATGATTTATTTAGTTATTAAGCATTTGATTAGCAATAATAGGAATTAAAATGAATGTAAATGTTATCAGAATTGTTGAGAGCTAAGTCAGAGTCACACCAACTGTGCCCATACGCTAATAATGTGATTGTGTGAGAGTTTGAGACCAATACAGTGCTTATGATAAGAGTTTGTCTTTTGAAGAACAAGTTTATTATCTTTAGTATAAAGTTTGGCTTCGACTAGAAATACGAGTAAATAAATAGATTTTAATTTCTATTTTTACAGAAGGAGTCGATAGTGATACCAAAAGTGTCTTCAATTGGTTGGACCCAAACCTATATATTGTGAACAACTTGTTAATTATAGTGTTTTAAATTCATTGTGTGGTTCAAGTGATTTGATTTAATCATATCATTGTATCATTATATATATTGTTGTGCTTTTATGTGTTGCCAATATATCTGTCAATTTGGACATTCATTTGTAAGCTATGGGTGAAGTGAGACTCAACCGAACGCCGTGTTATACATCTCTAACCAAGTTTTATATGACTTTAAGAACTTTCAGTTTACTTCACTATAATTGTTGTAAAATGTATTATCATTTTAGTGATTGTATTTAATTTGTTGTGCTTTTTTGCTAAACTTCGTTCAACTTTTTCCGTACATTTTTACCCGATTGATGTTTTAGTTTATTTAGTTTTACTTGTAATTTAAATTTAATTCTTCAAAAATATTGTTAAAATGGCTGAAAATAAACCAAAGACAGAACCAAATGCAACTCATTCACCAGACAATAGAAATAATTTGAAAACAACTAATGGCAACGATTACCAGATACTGATTGGAGACAACAGTTTCAATGCGAGTTCTTCCCAATCGAGTTACGTGTCGGACACCAACTCCGATGACAACAAAGTGTATCGCAACTACATCTCATCGCCGCATCACTTCCTTCTGATCCTATTCCTCATAATCTATGTCCTCCTCATTCTGTTGGGCGCCTCAGTCTTCTCACTCTTTGAACAGAAGGCAGAGTTCCAGATAAGAGACCAATTGCTGCGAACGCAACAGACATTTCTGGCCAAACATCCATGTGTTGATGGTATAAGCGATAGCTTTAGCTAAATCTCTCATATACTCTATAATATTATAATAAATTATTTGTATTGACAGCCGAATCGCTCGATGCGTTTGTCGAGTCAGTAATTAAATCTCTGGACAGTGGAGTCAATTTACATCAACTCAACCAAATTCTTCGACAGAGTGAACGCCACAACCAGAAGGTCTCTCAGACGCATCCGCCACAAGAAGTTACCCCAAAGAGTATTAATCCTATAACCGATAAACCGGACAGTCATATCAAAGAATATAAAAGTGATACAAAAGAATCCAAATTTGGATACTATTCTAAAAGTGAGACAAAAGCGCGACAAAAGAGCCAAAAGTCAGAGATGTTGTCATCAAATATTCCGACAGAATATTCCAATTGGGAGTTCACTTCGAGTTTGATGTTTGTGACGAGTGTAGTGACCACAATAGGTTATGGTCATGTCACTCCCATCACTGTGGAGGGCAAAGTGTTTTGCCTGATATTCTCATGCGTTGCCATTCCCTTCACTCTAGTATTTCTGTCAATAATAGTATCCCTTCTAAAGAACGGTCCGATCAGGATATTTGAGAAATGGCTCATCAGAACCATTTCCTCTCACTTCCAAAACACTCGAGACTTTTTCATACGAGTACTACATGTGTTGATTGTAACCATCACTTTACTCTTATTGATATTAATATTCCCGGCGTTTCTGTTCTCTTATATGGAGAAAGAGTGGTCTTTCTTAGACGCTATCTATTATTGTTATATCAGTCTTACAACTGTCGGTTTGGGAGACTTTGTCGCCACCACTTCCGATGTCACTCAATATGAATCATTACAATTATATAGGATTTGTAAGATTTGTTTTATAGAGTTTACAAGTTATAGTTATACTAATTTATTCTTTTATAATCAACTTTTAGGTACAATAACATACTTATACTGCGGACTCGCAATGATTATGCTTTGGATTTCGGTCATCCTTCGTATCCCACAATTGAATTTAAAACCACTTTTATTGACAGAAAAGGAGGAAATGGATGAATGCATGAAAATTATGGATTTGAATAAGACACTTCAACCAAACAATTATGGCACACAATACAATACCCACAAATGAGCCTTTTTTAACATATTTTATATTTGAATTTTAATTAATGACATTTTTCTACTGATTATATAATAGCAAATAAAGTTTTGGTTAAATGCGGATCAATTTGTATGATATTTTAAATAAATATAGTAGCAATAAATCCAATATTAATTAACTCAAAATACATATGATACTTAATTTCATTCTTTCATATATTTATTTTTCAAAGTACTTAAAGTTAATTAATATTATTTTAAAAGAAAAACAACTGAATTAATAATTATATAAAGCATTCATATTTAAGTGTATTCTTTAATCACTTCCAGTATTTCATTAATTAATTAATTTTCTTCTGTGGCAACCGTTGGAATGAATTTAGGCTGAAGTTTGCAGGCACAGTGATGGGGGGCTGGTAGGCACACAAATGATAATCAAATTGCATTTAAATTAAATTGCTAGTGATATGAAAATAATATAATACCTGATACATAACCCCATTGCGGGGGTTTGTTATTGGCCTGTTTGTAGTACATATACATCCAGCCATTCCTTTCGGTACATTCGCTGTGATAGAGCGGCGATATTCCTAAACACTGGCCTATGTTTATGCAATGAATACATTTTAAAAATAATGTAAATGTATAAATGAATTCCATTTAATGTTAATGGAATTTAATATTAATAACTTATTAGGATACCCTTAAGATTAGTGCACCGGTAAGAAAAGACAAACTGCTGGAGTTCCTCTTCCTGAACCACTTCTACTTTATTATCATACAAATCATGTGTTGTGTTCACCTATAGACATTAATTATTTCATAATTATTTAGATTTTTATTTAAATAAATAACTTGTCAATTAAATGCCCATAAAAATGGTGACAAACCTGTTCCCATTGACGGGTAGTTTTACATATCTCTTCAGACGGGAACTGTTCATTTTCACCAGAATTACGTTTCCTTATATTCTGCTGTTGCTGTTCGTCCGCTGTTTCAGAGTATCCCTTTTGTTTTGACTGAAATTAATGAAACAAGGCTCAATTACTCAAGATATACAAAACAGTATATTGATTCTGCTAGAAACAAAGTTAAATTTTCTTAAGGATTAAGATTCTGCAATTAAAAAACAAAACAACTGAAATAAACCCAAATCAACCTTTATCTAATCAAATTCTATCGCTTACTAGTAATATAAATATACAGTAATGTAGTAATAACTCTTAGTTTTCATAACCAGTCGCTACAAGTCTTTGGTTTAGAATCTAAACTTTAGAGATTGATAATAGAAACTAAGAATTGAAATATTATAATGAATGGCTTCATTAAAAACTTTAATTTATATACTGTACTAGTACTGTAAAATTAATAATTATCAATTCGACTTTTGTATAAAAAAGTTCTAAATAATGATAAAACTGTAATTAAATACTTGACTGTAATCGGGGTCATAATCAAACGGTGGTTTGGGTCCAACCCAAAGATACCTCTGATGTAGTGCAGGATGTGCTGCAATATACTCGCTAATGGACATGAAATTTATATAGTTTTGTATAACTTTATAATTTAAACCTAAGTTTACCTTAAAGATGACAATTTATTCCTTAGATGTGATTCATTTAATTCATTTGCTTCTAATAGTTGGTTAAGATATGTCTTAATAATTAATTTCATGATATTGTTTGAAGAAACCAAAGGCGGAACCGGCACTACAAGTGATTTGCATAGTTGTCAACTCATTATGCATTCATTGGACACAATTAGAAAATGCTTACCTTCTGCCACATTATGTCTAAAGAATACAATTATTAAGCATTTAGTTATAAAAACATAATAGAAATTCATTGTCAGATAACTACAGTCCGACTGACTGCAAAATTGCAATAATTCAATATTTGAATCATTATCGGCTTAAATATGAATTCGTTGTAAGCTTACGGTAAGTAGTGGACAATTATCTAACAAGTGATTAATGTTTTTGTTTAACATATTTATCAAGAAATTAGTATTTTGATCGCCGACTCAATTATTAATGTCTAAAATAAGTTTGCTTTGAATAAAACATCCGATTTGATCACATATGATGTGGTCATTCATCACAATTGATGAACCATTTAGAGAGTGGTTCTTATTTTCGTGCTATTTATAGGGGAAATGACATTTTGAACGGTTCTCTTGAAAATGCTTTTAAGATAAAAAGCTATAAATATTATAAATACGTTCTGTTTTGATAAATGTCTTTATATTTTCAATATAATTAATAGATAGATGATTAAAAAACATATTTATGATTACAACAATTAGACATTTTATAATCCTAAAAGAAATATTTCTAAGATTTAATAGTCATTTAAAATACCTATTAATACGTAATATACTTGTAAGATAAAATATAATCACTGATAAGTTAACATTCATATTTTCCGATTCCGTGTACTTATCATATAGAAATTTTGCTTAAATCTAAAATAAAAAACTTTCTACTGTAATTATGTAATTATAACATACCACTTCTATAAAAAAATTGGACCTATTCAATTCAAATTCACTCAGATTGTAACTAATAGTTTCTTTATGTAAACAATATTTTTCAATAATGCTTTCGGAAAACATTAGGAAAATGGTTTAATATAGGACCTATATTATAGGTATAAGGTCAAATCAATGTTTGCAAAATATTTAATAACTGTATTAGCAATCAGTTTCATTTAAAGTATTTTTTTGTATAAATTTTTTAACTTTGTGGTTACAAAGCTATTATACAGAATTTTCAATCTTTATTAAATTTAATATATTACCGTAAACCATATTTAAATATAAATACATATGATATACTGTATAGTATACAGGTATACTGTACCAAGTTGGTAATACCAAGCATTCTAATATTAAACTTTAAATAATTTTAATATAGAAATTCAAACATGTTATACTACAGTATTTATTATTTATAAAACTCTCCGTATTATACATTCAAATGTTTAAAACCAGTCCAACAAATAATAAGTAAAATTTACAAAAACTTTCAATTAATAAACACTTTCTAAGATTAAAATTATAGAAAGAAAACATAATTTCAAAAGTTGTCAATCATTTCATTGATTAGTTTAACTGAAATGATTGCTAACTATTAGTGAAATACTTGACATATTATAGTGTATTAAATGAAAGACAATTACATATAATATGGTAATCAAAGTAAAGAGTATTAGAGTTAATCAAAATCATTGGTATCAGAAAAGGCGACATTAAATAAGGCACTGATTGTCCACAACAGCAGTGAATCAATTGGCGTGAAAATAATGAACTGAACGCAGAATATAAGATAACCCAAGAATACGCCGATCACTGCATCCAAGAGATGGTGTCGACCGAGAAGTAGTCTCGAGGCGCAGACACACAGACACCACATCCATATGAGTAACGATAGGAGCGAGTGATTGCCGCAGAAGAGGGCCACATATGTAGCTCTGGAGCAGTGACCGGATGGCAGGGAGTGTTTGTCCGGACCCATCACCGCGAGCTGGTCGTCCTGTCGGGCATATGCCGGCCGTCGACGCCGTGTCGTCGCCTTCATGATGGCCACGCATATCACGTCCAGCAGCAGACCGGCTAAGAGTTGGGCCACACTTTTGTTGTTGGGGACCACGTATAGCGAGATGATAGCGACGGCAAACCATGGGATGCCATGACATGAGTACTCCAACGCCCGAAGTGTCAACTGATATGATGGCCAGTGGGCGCCGATATGTTTGCCACCGAACCGGTAGATCGACAGAGAGATGTTGTGGTCGACTGTCTTCACGTAATCCAACAAATTCTTCTTTATTTTAACCATCATTTCTACTCATTTGTCACTAAACTGTCACTTTATTTAGACATTCAAATCATTACAACATTTGTATTGACTTTCAATGCAATCATTCATTCACTTAATGCTTGACTCATAAACCAAAAGCGCATCATTTGAATGCATTTAATGCTGTATACAATATACTGTACACTAATCCACACAACACTGTCAGTCATGATGAGTGACTCATCCAACACAAGGTTATCACCAATTGATTCAATTTAAACATATTTTCCGTGCTATTAATTAGTGATAATTTGTTTATTAAAACAAGTTTACAGTTTAATGAAATAAAGCATACAGGTCATATAGAGTTATTATATACAGGTATATTCTAAAATAAAGTTGTACAAGAATATTAGTTTCCAAAACCATTTAAAATAAAGTTATTTTCATATGTAGCCTATTTTCCCTATAAATCTATAATCAAACAGAATTAATCATTTTGTAATAAATATTGCTTCAAATCATTTAAATTATGAATTAACCGATGAGGAATATTCTTAATGTCCATTTGTCTTATCTTCGTTGCCATTAAACCATTCAATCGATTGGAATCCAATGCAACGGATGAGTCAATTACTTCTAATGAGATACCATTCACTATAATGGAAGCGATTCCGATGTGTTGAAGAGTGTAATTGAATTGTGGAACAGATTTGATGACATCTATGTTATCGTTAATCCATTTGAAATACTCGACAAGTTTTGGTCGATGTCTTGACTCGTGAGTAATATTGTGCTTCATTTCCTTGGCTAACGAATACAACAGAGATTTCCTCACGAACTTGATATCAGGTCTTTCAATAGCTGTCGACTCGAGAATAAAGTAGATATCTTTCGGCACTTTGTTTCGATCCGAATTCGACATACATTTTAACCAATACTTAGAGTCTAGCGTTTGGTTGAGAAGATTTTGCGGATATATTCCTAATATTATTAATGATTTAAAGCAATCGATAAGAAAATGAGGATACATTTTAAAATCAGATGAAAGTAGTCTTTCCATTAACTTGACAACACATTCGCTCATTTGTTCGCTAAATTTGTAGTCAACTGAGGCGACAGACCACAGAAATCGAGACAAATCCTTACAGCGAATTGTCTTTGGATCAGATTCAGAGAAACAATTTTCAAGCAAATGATCGCCTCTTTGATCCACTAATAAGTGCCAGACATCGGCGTCATAGAGACAAATGTTTGCAAAAAATGCCAAATAATGAGCGCATTCTGCGAATGAAAAATTCTTGGATTCGCTTTCAATATAGTGTTTGACTGATTGGACAAGTTTTTGGTCATTGAATTCATTAAATCTCATGTATTTGACGATTGAAAGAACGTGTGTTTTATTCAATCGCTTGCACTTAATATCTTCGGAAACAATGTCTGAAAGTTTATATAAGATATCATTTGTTTTGAACTTAGCTTTTAATTTAAACAATGAGTGACACATGACTGCAATATCAGTTGATCCTATCTGTTCATCACTGGGGAAGTCATTGACGAAATAATCTTCAATTTTGTTGATCATAGTGTTGAGTAAAAAGCAAAAGTCGTCTCTATTTTCTGTACTGATATTTGAACTCAAATACAGGATTTGGTTTAAAACAAAGAAATTATGTTTATGTAACTCGAAAGTGATTTGAGGCCTAAGAATGTCAAACAAATTGATGGTATTCTTGGCATCGGATCCGTATATAACAGACATTGCGTCCAAAATGTAAAGTTTGGTTTTGAGGGGAAACTCGTGTTTTAAACTCTCTCTCAATATATGGTAAGAATTTTTCATAATATTATCGGATAATTGTTTTCTGGACATTATTTCAGAGCTATTGTTGTCATCATACGTTTGGTTACCACGAAAAGTAGACTCTTCGAAGAGATCCGAACCGTGGAAATACCAAAACGTCTTATTCGTGGACCTCTTCCTCCGTCTCAAGAATGGTCTCAAATTTGAAGCCACACTTAGACAGCGTTTTGAGAGGAAAATGTTCAATATATTGGACTTCATTATTGCAGACATTTAGACATTTAGTTCAAAGAGGTATCAAAAGAGTTTTAATTTTTCAAATCTTATTGTTGGGATCAAATGGACACGAGTTCTTGTATTTGATGAGTAAATCTCTTTTCATGACAAGTTGTTGTCTCAACGCATCCAAAGACTTGAGTTGTTCTTCTTTAGTGACGGCAATGCCATTGATTTGAAGCACTTGTTGTCTGAATTGGTTGAACTGATCCCTCAATGCCTGCATCTTTGTGTTGCAATCATTGGTCGACTGCTGCGGATCTCTCATCGACAGTGACTTCTGCGCCAAACTCGACAACTCATGTGAATCTCGTTCATAGCTATGAGACACCAAATCAGTCAGACATTCATTGCTATCAACACATTATCATAAGTAATACACACCTCCTGATGATGTCGTAAATGAGTGGTAAGAACTCAGTGTTGATCTCATCCACTGATAAACTCTTTGACATTATTTGCAAACAATTATTCAAATGATATTCAAATCATAACAACAATCACTGAATCAGTCACTGAATCAATGAATCCGTGAAACACTCATAGATTCACTCATCAAATACGTCCAGTTATTGCATTACATTGTATTTTTGGCTTCAAAACTGTACAATCAGACTGTAATACAGTCACTGTATTACAAATACACACATACAGTACAAACAGAAATTCTGTTACAGAATACATTAAATGAACAAGACATTTTAGCAATATTATAATGCAGGTATTATTCACATCTGCATTCAAATGACCAAGACTATTTTAATCTATTTTAACGTCCTTTTACTTGAAACTATTACTAATATGATACAAATATTAAATTTATGCCATATATATACAGTAGTACAGTATCATTTAATAATTTATTCTAACATTTCACATTATTATTGGCTATTTTTATGAATACAATTGATACAGTTAATTGAAAAGTAATGAATTGTATGCAATCATTATATAATAAAAGTATTATAGTATACCAAATAGAGTTTAAATGTTTAAATTAAAAAGAATTTAAATTGTCGGTGCTCATAGATTTTAAATGTAACTTATTTGTTATATTTATAACTTGAATTACAAATAACTACTTAAGTAGTTAATTCAAGTCTATAAATGATAAATGAATCTGTGCCCTAAAACAATATTTTCATGCATTACAATTCTAGTCAACAATTTTGTATATTTAGCATTATAAATAATCAACAATAATATTCTATTTATTTATTTTAAATTCTTAATATTTCATTTAACTCACATTAAAATAATTTATTTTACTAAAGAATTATTTTATATAACTGAACTTAAACCAGTGATCATCTAACAGGTGATAACCTAATAGAATATTGTTGTAAATCTCGTGATTTCTATAGTAAATAGAGTGCAATACATGTCCAAACATTCCTACGCTATGATTGTAAGCAGAATCTGTGTAATGTTAACGTTAATAGAGAATAAATGCTTTTGCTATATACAGTATCTATGGTATATTAGCACAGAATACTGTATAGTGTGCTACGAATATTGAGTACCTACCTTAGAATTAAAGCCAAACATTTTAGTAGAGATTTGAAAGTGAATGAAACGGTTTCTATGGATATTCACCTAAAATGATGGAACAAATTACATACTTTCCCATCACTTACATCAACAGATATTTAGTATGTTTGGGTTTATAGTAATTTAATTATTTAAAAAATCTTGTGATGTTGCTCTAAAAATTATATTCAATTGTTTTGTATAAATTGCTTCAAAAATATGCTTTATACCTTACAGTATTATACAAATATTTTATGAATTAAATGATCTGTTGACCAAAAGCATAATAAACAATACATTTGTACTGTAGGTAAGTGGTAACGAATGACAAATATTTTAATTATAGTGTAATTATATAAATATTTTTTAAAATAATAAACACATTTTTAGAATTTATAAGATTTATTTTTTAATTAAAATCAAATTGCTTAATTTATATGATTGATATAATACTGAGATAAATGCACATTACGTATTGCGAGCACCTGTAGCTATTATACTCTTATATGAATGATGGGAATTCATATGTTTTCCATCAATCTATATATTATTTTCATATGAATTCATTAATTTTATATGAATTTTGTTATTTAAACCTTTATGCTTCTAATGTACAATATTATTAGATTAAATTTATAAAGAAAATTTAATGATTATTTTTTTCTTAAAATAAATACAGGACAACATAAAAAGCATTATTTATTAAGAAATAGAACATTAAATTATATATATAATTTTCAATACTAATAATTTGTATAATACAAATAATANATCAAAAGAGTTTTAATTTTTCAAATCTTATTGTTGGGATCAAATGGACACGAGTTCTTGTATTTGATGAGTAAATCTCTTTTCATGACAAGTTGTTGTCTCAACGCATCCAAAGACTTGAGTTGTTCTTCTTTAGTGACGGCAATGCCATTGATTTGAAGCACTTGTTGTCTGAATTGGTTGAACTGATCCCTCAATGCCTGCATCTTTGTGTTGCAATCATTGGCCGACTGCTGCGGATCTCTCATCGACAGTGACTTCTGCGCCAAACTCGACAACTCATGTGAATCTCGTTCATAGCTATGAGACACCAAATCAGTCAGACATTCATTGCTATCAACACATTATCATAAGTAATACACACCTCCTGATGATGTCGTAAATGAGTGGTAAGAACTCAGTGTTGATCTCATCCACTGATAAACTCTTTGACATTATTTGCAAACAATTATTCAAATGATATTCAAATCATAACAACAATCACTCAATCAGTCACTGAATGAATGAATCCGTGAAACATGAATACATTCACTCATCAAATACGTCCAGTTATTGCATTACATTGTATTTTTGGCTTCAAAACTGTACAATCAGACTGTAATACAGTCACTGTATTAACCAGAATACATTAAATGAACAAGACATTTTAGCAATATTGTAATGCAGGTATTATTCATATCTGTATTCAAATGACCAAGACTATTTTAATCTATTTAAACGTCCTTTTACTTGAAACTATTACTAATATGATACAAATATTAAATTTATGCCATATATATACAGTAGTACAGTATCATTTAATGATTTATTCTAACATTTAATATTATTGGCTATTTTTATGAATACAATTGATACTGTTAATTGAAAAGTAATGGATTGTTTGCAGTCATTATATAATAAAAGTATTATACAGTAGTATACCAAATAGAATTTAAATGTTTAAATTAAAAAGAATTTAAATTGTCGGTGCTCATAGATTTTTAATCTAACTTATCTGTTATATTTATAGCCTGAATTACAAATAACTACTTAAGTAGTTAATTCAAGTCTATAAATGATAAATGAGTCTGTGCCCTAAAACAATATTTTCATGCATTACAATTCTAGTCAACAATTTTGTATAATTAGCATTATTAATAATTAACAATAATATTCTATTTATTTTAAATTCTTAATATTTCATTTAACTCACATTAAAATAATTTATTTTACTAAAGAATTATTTTATATAACTGAACTTGATCTAACAGGTGATAACCTAATAGAATATTGTTGTAAATCTCATGATTTCTATAGTAAATAGAGTGCAATACATGTCCAAACATTCCTACGCTATGATTGTAAGCAGAATCTGTGTAATGTTAATAGAGAATAAATGCTTTTGCTATATACAGTATCTATGGTATATTAGCACAGAATACTGTATAGTGTGCTACGAATATTGAATACCTACCTTAGAATTAAAGCCAAACATTTTAGTAGAGATTTGAAAGTGAATGAAACGGTTTCTATGGATATTCACCTAAAATGATGGAACAAATTACATACTTTCCCATCACTTACTCAACAGATATTTAGTATGTTTGGGTTTATAGTCATTAAATTATTTTAAAAATCTTGTGATATTGCTTTAAAAATTATATTCAATTGTTTTGTATAAATTTGAAGTTTTTATACGAAATATGGAATGTCATAATATGTTTATAAAATACTTAATTTACTAGACAACTGGTTTTCGTATTATTTGTTATGTAAACATGACATCCATTCACCATTGCTTACTGTTTATAATTAATTATACCGTAATTATATAAATATTTTTAAAATAATAAACACATTTTTAGAATTTATAAAATTTATTTTTTAATTAAAATCAAATTGCTTAATTTATATGATTGATATAATACTGAGATAAATGCACATTGCGTATTGCGAGCACCTGTAGCTATTATACTCTTATATGAATGATGGGAATTCATATGTTTTCCATCAATCTATATATTATTTTCATATGAATTCATTAATTTTATATGAATTTTGTTATTTAAACCTTTATGCTTCTAATGTACAATATTATTAGATTAAATTTATAAAGAAAATTTAATGATTATTTTTTTCTTAAAATAAATACAGGACAACATAAAAAGCATTATTTATTAAGAAATAGAACATTAAATTATATATATAATTTTCAATACTAATAATTTGTATAATACAAATAATATCAGTACTTATATTAACACAAAATTATTTTATATTTATATTTAAAATTAATATCAAAGGAAAATATAATTAGTGAAATATGTGAAAATAAAATTTTTATATAGTTTTCAATTTATTTATTGAATTGGTGCTAGCTTTAGAATTTATATTTAAATTATAACTATTATTATTCTATTTAATATGATAATGGATATAAAATTTGATATATATTTATTTTTCTATTTAAATAGAAAAGATACTCAAATCCAAAACAATTCAATATATCAAAAGCCTTAAGAACTTATCATCAAATAAAGTGATTGAATGATTGAATTACGATAATTATATTCAGCGATGACTATGAGGTATGGCTAAGAGGTATATATTTTATAAAAATAACTTATAAAATATTTTTCAATAGACAAGCAAATTATAAATGTTTGGACATTTAGTTTATGAATAGTATAAATTGAGATTTAATTTATTTGATTAAAAGCGATCTCAAACACAAAGAATGTGAGTCAATAGAAAGCAATTCAGACGCCACTGAATACAGACAATTGGCCACAATTATTGTGAACAATCTGTTGACCAGAGCTGTATCCAAAGTGAATGAACAGATATTTCAAATGAGAGCTTCACAAATGAACGTAACTCCCAAATATAATGAGACCAATTTGGACTTAATGGTAAGTACAGTAATTGTATGCATAAAAATGTGCATACTAAATGATAAATTGATTGAAAATTATTACACTTACTGTATGTGATTTGGAAATATATAATGAATTGTATAAATTGGATGCAAAGTTTGCGCCCGACATTCAAATAGATTTGCAGCCGTGTGCTTGAGGGTCAGGGCTTCTTCTCGGAATAGAGCTAACCAGGATATTATTCTTTCTTATAGCCAAATTTCGCGGCCATCTGGTTGTCAGTTGGTCAAAACTATGGCTAAAGAGATAATATGATTTTGAGACCACAGAGCGAGATGTTGACTCAATTTACACCAATTCTCGTTTGGATATCTCACCAAAGGTCAGAATTACTAATCAATTCATAATTTTCAGTCACATAATGACACTGTACAAATACTGGGTCCAATACCTAAACCTACTTTAGTCTCTAAAACGGTTTCTTATATAGTTTTTGTAGCAATGAAGTCGGGAGCTTTGTGAATTAAGTGTTGGTTATCCATTATGACATTACATATGATTTTAAATATGCAATTACTTAATCTTATAAATGCAGTATTTGAAGTATTTTACTGTTAAAGTTTGATATAATACAGTGTGAATATTGAATATTGAAAGAAATATTTATACTGACTAACTTTAAAAATGATCCTTGGACATTATTCACGAAAACATTTAATTTAACAGTAAATAATAATAGCCTTATTTGTTTAGTAAAATTGTATTTGATCTGATATTAAATATTAAGTAGTGGATATGTTACTTTAATAGGTAGTAATAAAGTAAGGTAGTTTAAGTGATACTTGATTGAGTATTTATGGGACACAATGAATGTCGTATGAGTTGTTGTTTCAAAGTTAACAGGTAACAAAGTCTCTTGCTCTTCGGAAACGATTTCTGGAGCTCTTCACTATTGGTTACAAAGCTTTGCCCGTGGACCTACAGTGCCCACTCTGTGCATAAGTCTGCCGAGTACGCAAGCCGGACTCTTTGCAAAAGCAAACAACAGTTTCGTCAGCGGAAGTCGTGACCAAATTTAAAGCAACTATTGCTCAATAATCCACTCAATCCTCTCATCGATATATTGTAACGTATTTTGGGAACAAATCGTCACATATTTGCCAATAATTTCACAATAATTATTGTGATCAGGAAAGCAGAAAGTTCACAATATAAAACTATTTAGGAAAACATAAGAGACAATTGAGACAGATATTTAGTGTTTATTCACATTATAATTATAGTTAACTTATCATTGGTTCTTATCAAAATTTTTCTCCACAAATACTTTCAATTTAATGTTAAGAAAAACAAATTTTGTTAAATGAACTCAATTGTTGTTTTGTACTTTATATACCTTCTAATCATATAAATATTGCCAAAAGTCAATTTTCTAATAAATGTATTAAATTTGAACTAGACATTTTAACTTAAGTCAGTGAACATGTGTGTGTGTGTGTGTGTGAGAAATCTTTTTAAAATTTGAGCTTTATTCTTCACCATGCTTAAAATGTTCAAACAAAATGCCTAACAAGTAAGTAGGAAATAAGCTTATCAACAGTTAATAAATTTAATTTGTATAGGTATATCCAATAATTAGTTCTTAACAAAAATATCATAATATAAAATTCCACTAGAATCAGAATATCCTGTAGAATGCAATTCATATACATTTAGAGAGCAAATATTCTTATATATTTTAAATATAAAATGTATTATTTCATTAATATTTAAATGAAATCCATTGCTGTTCAATGATTCATGTTTTTATGCCGAAAATTTGACAAAATTTTAAAATTACTATACGAATTTTCGAATTGAAACAGTATATTCAACATAAATATATGCTGTGCAAAGCATAAGAATTGGATTTCACAGAATATTCTGATTCTAGTGGAATTTTGTTTTGTGATATTCTTTTTAAACTCAAATTATATAATACACATATACTAATTAAATCTTAGTTATTAACAGTTGATAAGCGTGCTTCCTACTAAGTCCTAGAAATGAAATATCTCCCTGAACAAATTAAAATTTAAAGTTCTGTAGTTGGAGTTTGATCTAATTTGATGATATTGACTTTAGTAAAAACAATCAAATCAATCTTTATTTTGTGAATATTTTATTAGAGAATCTTTGAAAAACCAAAATTAATATCCTATGATATGCTTAAGCGGTTAAAAACAATCATAAACTTAATTACCGGTATATAAAAAATATGGAAATATTATATAATAATATTATCAAATGCTTATTATTGAACATCATATAAATTCTACAGTTTGATAGTGTCACAATAATTGTTTGTGACTTATATTTATAATGAAAGTGCTTTACTGCAGCTTATGATTAGATTGTAAAATGGATTACAAAATTAACGAAATTCAGAGTTGACTGATTGAGTGATCAGTTATGTCGACCAGAATGGAGGTGTCTTTGTTGCAACTGTTGTTCCGGAGCTCTTGTGGGCTCAAGAAGCTATCCAAACCAGGTAAACTACTCGCAAAGACCGCTAGCCATGTCCTTATACTCAAACCGCATCTCTAGGAGAAGCTCAAGTTTGAGAGCTGAGAGCGCTTGGTTTATATACAGCTCTGATAACTGGAGGACTCGGTCTACGTTTGGCATTCGGGTGTAAATGACTTTGAAAGAGGACTCGGAGTTAAGGCCGCGCACCCAACGCGACACCAAAAACACGAAAGTCGTGTAAATGCCTATAATTCCATATCCGGACAGAAAAGCGAGTAAACCGATGAACACTTTGTCGTTGAACAGAACGACGGCAACTGTTTGACAGTCTTTTGTTAACAAATCGTGTCGCACGAAGTCATCCAATTTGTCCAAATAATTGGGAGAATCGCAGGCGTCCTGAATGGCCCAATAGGACACGTCTCCCATCTTCTGCATCGACACATTGAGAGTGCGGTACCGATACATCTCATCCGTTTCGTCCGGTTTCCTCGGCTTCTTCATCAGTTGGTTCACAACTGTTGGCCTTCCCTTCTCGGGAACTCTCAGATAAGTCGGGAAAATATATTCAATATATGAATACTTGGTTTGTTCGGGATTTTCAATCATTTCAGCGAATGCCTGACGATATTTAGAATCAATGATTGGGTCCAACAGTCGCTGGTGTTCGCCCGAAATGGTTGCGTCCATATCCTGAGTCTTTTGCTTGGCTCGTGTCACAGAGAATGTCAGCTTTACGTTTATACTACTGTTCCCATTACTCAGATCGTCTATCAAGGCCTTCCGACCGGGAGGACTGATACCCCAACTGGCGGTTGAGTTGCCATTAATCTCGACCACAATGACGTCGCTTTGATCGTATCCAGAGATGAATGTCTGGGCGACCACATCCTTCACGAAGTCCTCGTTATTGCGAAGTCGATCCCAGAGGGGAGCGCTTATATCCTTAAGATTATTATCGGAAACACTGACTTTAAATATTGGTTGATATCCTCCGAACTCGAGTTCAAAGGTGGCGCCTATCGGACGGTTCGTTGAACCGACGGCGCGGCCCAAAGCGAACAAACCCAAAGGACCCCAAATCAGACCTAAAAAGACAACTCGTTATTCACAAGTAAATCACATTTAAAGGGACAGACCTATTATGATGACAACCCACGCGCCGCCCAACAGGTACTTAAAGAACCTGCGCTTTGCTTTACCGCGCGGTTCAGGAAATTCTTCGTCTAATTTGAGTTCACATTTGCGTTCATAAAGATTCACAAAAATGTCTTCCATTAGAGACCACTCGTCGAGCACTAGACTGGTGTCCGTCCAAATCCAGTCCATATACATACGTAAGTCATACAGGAATGGGATCACCATATATCTGGTTATAACATACAGACAGTCGTTTGGTTCACACAAATCTTCAATGTCTTTAATTTGACACAAAAGACATACCCTTTGAATGCATACCAATTGATGAGATTATATTTCTTGCAGAAAGTATTTCCCAAAATTCTTGTCGGATAACCACTTCTTATTTGATAGGCAGACAGCAGGAAGTAAACGCATCTGAATATGTAGTACACCTTCGGGGGCCAGTTCTCCTTTTTGGTGAAAGGCCTGTAAATGAATATTCACTCAAACATTATTCTATCATTAATTACATGAAAACACCCAAACCTTTCGGTCATCGCCGGTAAAGCGAAGAAGAGCCAGATATGCATTCCCAACGCCAGAAGTATTTGAAAAATAAGTTTTCCTTTGATGTATTTCCGCAAATATAAGGCCCTATCGATTATAATGAGAGCGAATTGCATGAGAAGCGTCACCAGAAAAGGGATCGGAATTTTGTTTTCTTCGAGGAATGAGGCCACGTCTTCAGTGCCGTAACCGCTCTGTAAGGCATTCAATCAATCAATCAAATCATTCTTATGAATTAAAGGCTTAATAAACAAAACTCACGCCAAATGCCGAGAAACCAAAGACTAGAATAAAAAAGTTTATAAAATCGCACAAAAACATCAGTGAATAGACGTCTCGAGTGATACGATATGGCGGATGAAGAACACTGTGGAAGAAGTGACGAATTGGTTTCGACGAACGGATTACCCTATAATTGGCACATATTATGAGTTATTTGTTAATTTAATAAAACAATTATTTGTTAACAAACATTAATTTCAGTGCAGAGGGACTCATGAGACGTAGGATCACTTGGAAGCCCTCAGAAGATTCCTCTTTAGTGTCTTCGCTGTGAGTTATATCAGAAAACTCGTCGTCCGGTTCTTTGGTCTCCGCTTCTAATTCAGCTAAACTTAAATCAGTTTTCGTTTCACAAGTAATCGCATCCTTCGTTTGTATTTCTAGATTTACTGTTGATTTTGTCTTTTTCTGTGTTTTGAGTTTAGCTGTTATCTCAGCCACAGGTATCGGATCCAAAGCTAATGAATTCCTTCGTTCGGCGTTTTCCATGAAAGCAGTTATCTCTGAATCAGACAAATCCCAAAGACCTAAACTCTGAAGATATAGAACAAAATGACAATTGGATTAACTTTAATATAATAGACTTAAATTACTTTAAGCATAAATCGGTGGAAGAATAGGACCAAAAGGAGTGCCAAATCAAACTGAGCGTAATTGTTTGCATCATCATTTTTAATACCGAAAATTCGGGGCAAATAGAAGGGAGTGATGTCCACTTTGCCGCTCGCAATCCACGGCCAGAATTGGAATTGAAAGATGTATTTAATGACAACAATTAGTTCTGTGTATGTGATCACAGTAACCCAGAAGGCTTTCGAGGGTCGGGGCACTGATAGTGAGCCCCAGAGGAATGCAAACAAAGGTAATGGCAGTGAGAGGATGGACGCGGAATTGATTTGATTTAAGACTATTATTATATAACACATGATTTCAGATCGCGAAAGAATTGCATAGAAAATGGACCGAAAGAATCGCATATAAACGTTGGCCTTCAGGAAAGCCGAGTCCTCTAAATCGGTTTCCGTTGAAATTAATTGGCTATCAATAGACAGAAATTATTAAAACAATCACTCAAATGTATTCATCAATGCTATACTCGTCTGATGTTTTGTCTAATTTCTTAGACTCTCCAATAGCTTCAGGTTTCGTACGTTTCTTGCGATGCAACTCATCCGATGAATCAATACTTTTAGTTTCTTTAGGAACAGCTGACTGTGATATCTTTGAAAGCGTCTTCTTCTTCCAGTTGGTGTCCATGAAGTCAAATCGCGATCCATTCGACTCTTCGATCTCAAGAATTCTCTTCAAATACCTCTTTTCGACAGATAGTCTTCGGGCGACATATCTGTAATCCGCTCTGTTACTCAACTCAAAACGCCACTGTGATTACTCACGCGAGAGTTACTTGTCTTCCGTATATACCTTGGTTAAGAAGTAAGCTGATTTATATCTGAGAAAAGAAAACTGAAGACAAAGAAGCTCTTCCGGTTCCTCTTCTCCATCAGACATATCTCCGGAACCCTTTTCAGAAGGTTTGGAAGATTTTTTCAGATCAACTGGAAGACTAGAGGGTCGGGAACTCATAGAAGTTGAAGGGAGTGTAGTGTATGTCGTCGGCACCGATGCGTCCGGATCTATAAGTTCCCTATCAATCGAAGCAATTGCAGAGTCTTTACTCGATTCGCCCACATCTGTAGTCTCGGCCGACACTATAGTCGCTTCTGTGTCCTCGACCTCTCCTTTCATTAATTTTGCGCAAAACTGATAGAAAGTATCAAAAAATTTTAGTCTTTAGGGGTACAGTAGTATGGTAAATTTTCTTTCAAAATACTGTATGTCGTCATTTCGGCACTTGAAAACGTTATAAAGCGTAAAGCAGAGGAAGACCTAGGCCTTAGTTACTAAAAGAGCCAAAAAGTAAGTTTAGTTGCTAAAGTCTGTCTGTGTCATCAAACATATAATAACCTCCCGATCGGACAGCTATCCGAAAATTAATTGATTATAAGATTAGAAATATATATATAATATTTTTAAAAATGGGTTCAAATTCTGTAAGACGAGTGCAATAAAATATAGGAAACATAAAACATTTAATGTCAACTGAAGTGTGAAACAAATTTTGAGTGCTTTTAACGCTAAGGAAAGTGCGAAACAAATGACCAAAATGTGGAAAACATCACAAATTACATGAGCCGTGAGAACGAGTCGAAGCTTTTCTCTTAAATGAATGGACTCGAGAGGGAGTCTCGCGAACAACCCGTTGCGGGACTTGTGTTCGCGTCGACGACTGAAATATGGAAGAAGCGTCGGATTGGCCTTCAGTTCCGGCAAACCTCAGACTAGTCAGCAAAGAGCTCATGGGATATGGAGTGGGGGTAGGAGTGGGCGAAAACACTGGGAACGAGTCGTCTTCTATTGACGACGACTTGAGACTAATTGAGGGAAAAGTAACGATAGAACTGCGGGCGTCTATAGATCTAATCGGACCCACAGAATACACCTCAAGATATCCCGGTTGAGGAGTAGTGGCTGATTGTGGGGATACGATAGTGGGTAGGCTAGGAGTGGGAGAGTAGACAGTGGGGAGGGTGTGAGAGAGAGGCTCTTCTGTTTCTGGTGTGTGAGACAGAGTGGCCTCAGCCGTAGAGTACGGGGAGACGGAGACGTCGTAGTCGTAGTCTTCTGTTAATTATGAGTTCAGACATATTATCACAAGTATAGACAATAAGTTGGTCTCAAGATTAAACAAATTGAAAACCAAAGCATATGTTAATATAGTGAACGAATTATCCATATATGGTATGACATAAAACAAATAATGAGACGATGAGACAATACATACCCTGTTTGTGAGCCTTAATACTCTTTGCCTTATCGGCGAACATCTTCTGTTGTGCGGCTTTGATTCGATCCATTTTCTGCTTAATCTTCTCCATCACCTCCTTCTCTGCCTGTTCCTGATCTGCAACTTCTTTGGCTTGAATCTCGTGGATGAGTTCAGCCCCGCGTGAGGCCAACACTTGTTGTGCTTTGATTTCGCGAACTAAATGACTGAAGTAATAGCTGCAAAATATCCGCTTTTGAATTATGAGAAACGCAAAGCAAATGCCATCCCATAAAAGGCCGGCCTCGTGGTAGGGTTGAGTACACTTGGGTTGACTCGGGTTCGTGTCCGTAGGCTGGGGTTCAGTATTATCAGGAGGTTTGATATTGAGACACGCGATTCCCAGTAGTTGGACGACCCAACAAAAGTGGGCTAAAAGATGTTTTATATAAACACATCCAACGACCTAAAGGCAACCACAGAATAATTAATCATATATTAACAGAATTTCAATGAATTACCTGAAGAATTGATTTAACGAGTATAACACCCGACGTGTACGTGATTATAGTCCTCCAGAGGTGAAAGACCATAACAATTGGTTTCAAATAAAACTCATTGCCATTCCATAGGAATATAAAACAGGCCAAAACATAGCCCAATGCAAAGAGACTGACGCGTGTAGTTCCGGCCAGGAATATGATCGCTAGTGTGACCCAAAAGAAGCAAAAGAAAAACATGGATTTGATTGAATCGAAAAATGTGTGGCCGAAGGCAAAAAAGTCTGGAACTGTAGTGATATTCGCGGGGTTTGTCTCTAAGTGGGCCTCAATGTTAGAGCCGCCGATATATGTCTCACTCTTTTCCAGTTTAAAGCATATTAATTGTCGACACGAAAGTAAAAGTATTATAAAATCTAAATAAAGTTTGTTCACTTCCGGAGGGGTTTTAAAATCTGGCAAAAATAGCCATCTCTTGAGCTGTGGATCTATAGTATACCAGGGATAGTCAAGACACAGGCCGAGAGGCATTCCCAAACACATCAAGTATTGAAGTGGCAGAACAATCACTAAAAACACCACAAAATAAGTCCACATTTTCTGAATGGTTCGTCGATTTAACAAAACCAATAATAAGAGCCAAAATGAATAGAAAACACTGAATATATCGCTACGGGAGCCAATTGATATGGTTAACAGTATGAAACAAATTTCAACACCAAATTTGTAGAAACAATAGTTTATGAGAAACATTGCTAAGCCTTTGAGATCTCGATCGGCATCTTTACGGCTCACCCGAGGAAAGACAACACCCGTCGGCGGAGGGCTTTCGTTATGTCTCATGCGATACACATTCTGTCGGATTATGACAACTGAGCGAAACACTAGTATTAATATAAGGATTATGTATTCCTGCAAAATAATTACCAATTAAAGTATCAATCAATGAATGAATGAATTAACAACAAAAATCTATTTATTTCTTACAGTGATATATCCGAAAACATTATCCACTCGATGAAAACCAATGTATTCTCTATTGTCAACCTTTGTGGTCACATTCGGGTCATTCTTTTAAGAAAGTTTATGTTTTAAATGTGTGGGCACTAAAAATTATACCAACAAGGTAATACAAAAATGCTTACATCACAAAATGCCTCCCATTTGATTTGTTGTGCGAATTGTAACTGGAATACCATTTTAACCAAAATAAGAATTCCGGCCCAAAGACCCAATAAATGGGATGTTATGCCTTCAAATTTAGTCAAAGGCATCGCTATTACTATTAATATCACAAACACCACATTCATTACAGAAATCTGAAAATAGTTATATATATGGTTAAATTAAGTACTTCTTAGTTATTCAACAATCAACACATACTTCAGATAAGGCCACCAAAACGGCGCAAAATATGACAACTTTAATGAGATGTATCTCTAGTAATCTCCATATAATTTCAAAACTCATATCAACAATAGGTTGGAGTTTATGCCAAAAGAATTGCAACAACTCTTTAATCTCATCTAAACTCGATTTATACTCTTTTTGATCGCTTTTGGAGTCGGGTCTCGAGTGTCCACCTCTCGCAGCACTCGAGTCCTTACGTACGAGTGACGAGCATTTTGTGGGAGAATCACCCGAACCCTTATGGACTAGACTTTGAGGACTAGAAGACTTAATCGCAGACTTTATCGTATTGGGAGTCGATGTGTCGTTTGACGACTCGTTTTCGCTATCGATCTCTAATTTAATTTCATCCGAATTTAATTTCTTGGCATCACTTTCATGACTCGTCTCATCAGAAGGTGAATGAGTGGTAGGAGTGGTAGTACTGGTCGGCGAAGCACTCGAACCCTGTTTCTCATAATTACTAAATTCTAAGAACTTTTTGTGAAGGAAATGGACCTGAATTATGGTTATTATGATGAAAAAAGTGGGGGTAAAGAGCTCTTTGAACAGAACCCACGCGTCGTTTTCGTAGACCTCAAGTCCCAAATCTTTTTGACTGTCAGTCCAAACAAACATATAAATTATCAGTTTTACATATACTGGACAGGTATATGAGAAATCTAGTCAAGTATTTCTTACAGTTCAGGGTTTATCTTGAGATACTGATCCCAATACTTGGGAAATTCATCAAACTGATAGGTATAGATTGCGGTCAATATAATCATCGAATAGATTATTACAATTATCCAAAATGGATACATAAAGCGCCTCCACGTCGAGAATGACAGCTATTAATGAATGTAAATGACATCTAATTATAAAGAGACTGTGTAATATAAACTGTCTTTTAGTTTTGGACTTTCTCATTTTGTTTACTATCCTTATCTCGGTATATATACTGTGCTATCTCCTGTTGTACTAGTGGCGACTCTCTGTATTGGTAGTCGTAACTAGCCACAATCCATATCCAATACTTGACGAGAAGATCTTTAAGCAAACTGATGACCCATTGGACAGCAGGGCTTTGATGTGTGCCTGTAGTCGTTGCTAAACTCATTTGTCGCCGTAAGTCATGCTGTGGGGCGCCGGGTTGACCGGTGCTAAAGGTTATGTTGAACGGCTGGACCATAACTCCCTGAGCGAAGCGTTTCCTTTTCTCAGTCTCTTTTTCTTCAAGATATTGTCTTAAAGTAATCCAAAACATAATTGTGTAGAGAATCTAAAAATAAATATAAAATGAGCTAAAAGTACTAAAATTGCTAGGTACTTGTATGTAATAAAATTACTTTTATCAATAAGGGCTGGTACGATAGTTCTTTATATTTTTTGAATCCAATTTGATTCATACTAACGCCGCCCGCAGTTACGGGTAATTCAAAGTCACTCAGATTCTCTGATATGTGCATAACTGGCTAATTATTTTAGTACCGTTTGTTCTGGTCACGACCACTACTGAACTCTGTGCGGACAGAACTCAACCCTTAGTAGGTATGTCACGTGCTGGTGTTGTCATCTTACTATGACAACCTTTCAATGGTTCACAAATTGGTTATAGTTTTCAAATGAGTCAATTCATAGATATCTACTATACCAGGAATGGTATGTTATTGACCAGGTCTGCAATGAATTGGAATAAATATTAAACACAAAGAATATAATAAATTAAATGACAATAAGTTGCGCAGACATTGAGACATACCATCATGACAATCAAAGTGGAGACATAACTGCCTTTCTTTATTAATTTGAGTAAATGAACGAAAGGCGAGGAATAGTGTTTGGAGTCGTCGGCGCCCATCGGACCCATCGGTGTTGTGGGAGATTCTGGTCGACTCGCACTCAGACCTACGGCTCCAGAAATGCTGGAAAAATTGCTCACTTCTGGCTCCGGCCTCCAAATGATACTTCCATTGGAATCCATTCCAATACCAGTTCTAGGATTCGGTGAGACATTCATTTGGTCCGATGTGTAATAATTCTTTGCTGTCTTGTCATCGCTTAAGAGCTTTAATAGCAAACAGTATTACAGAATATATATATTAAGAATCAAAACTCATATCAATTGCAAGAAAGCATTTCAACGAAAACAAATCATAAGAAGCAAAGCATAGTTTTAGAGCTTTTAATGAGATAAGCAGTTGTTTTATATGAGCATTAGTTTTACTGATATTCAATTCATTATTGTTGTTACAATTTACCTTAAATGTATTATAAATGTGTTTAGTTATAAGCAGATTAATACGTGTTAATATGTTAACCAGCATTTTAAAATTCAAGGGTATTTTTGTTATGTGATCTGTAATTTTGTTGTTATTCAATTATTACGTAAGAAATCATCGTAAATGATATAAACTTTGTTTAACTGAAAATTAAAGCACATAAACTTAAACATAAACTCAATAGAAAATACACTTAATTTGGTTTAAATTTTTAATTTAAATATTGTATAATCTAAAATATGATAATTTTAAAAATGTTTCACGTTTAATCTAATGAAAAACGCATGAATATTCTTAATAATTAAATTTGGCAATCAATTTAGAAAGAATTCTAAAAATTCAGAATTATAATAGCAAATACTTACTCTGGATTTATCCCAGAATATACTGGAATCTGCAAACTTGGCATATACCATTTTATTTATGTGTAGACACTATTTTATGAGTTAATTAGGCTGGTCAAATAGGGCGAATGGCCAGACACTTCTCTGTACGGACAATGGTTTGTCCGTATATTCTACATGTTATTCGCTATTTCATTGCTTAAAATACGCTTAAAATGGGAAAAATATTTAGTAAATTTAATAAAACTAAACTGTACGACTGATGTTATAATTTTCCTAATTCCGAAGTATTTTCGCAATTTTTCGCTTACTTATCCCTTATTGTACATCTTATACGCCTGTTTGGTAACAGGCATGTCTCTTCACAGACCGGTAAACTGCAGCCTAATTAACTCATAAAATAGTGTAGAATAAAATGGTATATGCCAAGACTGCAGATTCCAGTATATGCTGGGCTAAATCCAAAGTTAAACATTATTAAAACAGTACTAACTGTAAGTTACATATAAACCACACATATAAAATACTATATTTAGTACTAAATCTTAAGTTCTTAATAACAATTAAGAGCAATGTTTTTGTCAGGTTGATCACATTTTATCAATTTACTGAGTAAGCACGATCATTTATGACAAAATATATTAAGGATAATTTCAATAGAGTCCTGAATATAAAAAGCCGATATAATGTTTGGAAATAACTATAAAATGTAAATTAGTTTTTTATAGTTTCCGTAATTTATTATTTATGATGTCAGTAGAAATCATCTTACAGTGCAAACGTGATAGAGAACAGCGTTTCTAATTTGATTTACATTAAAATGTGTGTAAATTTCTGTCTTGTATTCAATTTTCTTTGAAATCTTATTAAAGCCACGAAAATATAATTTTTATGTCACTCATAAAATCTACAAATTTAGTTTTGGTCTATAAAAGTAAGCACAGTTTAGTAAATCTAACTTTGGTTTTCATAATTCGTCTAAATATTAGAGAAATATTTAGAAATAAAATAAAGAGATATTGAGATTGATATGATAGCATTGTACTGTACAGTGTATACAGTATCCAAACATTGAAAAATCCCAAAATATTTTTAACAGGAATTTCTGAATGAATGCAAACAATACTTCGATAAACGACTGAAGAATACACTTTGAAAACACTATAAAATAATCAATAATTTGAGGAAATATTCGTTTTTGATATAAAGGATATCCGTTATGTTAAGCGAAAAATTGATTGATTGGACACAATCTTTGGATATATTAGTGATTCTAAACATTGAGACTATTATTGCTTTTGTAGACTCATTGACATAGAGATAGTGCAGTGAAGGGGAGAAGCGTCGCAAAGCAAAGGATACGAAAACTACAGTAAATTACATACAGGAGTAGAGTCAGTAGAAACGTGTATTATTTTATCTAAATGTAAGCTTTCGCTGGTTTTAGTGTGTTTTCCATCAAAAATCTCATTGGCAGTCGAGGACAGGCTCTCTGATGACTGTCGGAGTCGTGCAAACAAATCATTTAGAAATTAGATAAACAAACGAAAACACGATTCTCCATTAATCTCTAATAACTCAACAAATTATTCATTATTTCCAATAATTCATACAATATATACATTTTTGTGATTTAAAATGCATTAAAAATGATAAAAATGAATGAATGCGTGAAATAAAAACACATATCAAAGGAAACATGCGATCACTTGAGACATACATTATTTCTCTTTCCAATAGTGAGCTTATCATCGGAACTCTTCATCCCTTGAGTACTACTGGTATTAGTGGTGGCAAAGTGTGGGACAATTGCATCGCCACTCAAGTGATTGGGTCTCTCATTAGCACTCATCACCTCATGTGACCCAATGGTCGGACGCCGGCTCCTCTCAATCACCTGTACGTCAGTTGTGCACCAAAATCAACATTTAATGCTATTTCTGTCATTCATTGTCTTATATATTATTTATTTACTCTAATGTAATAAATTGTGTTAATCTCTTAAATCTTATGACTAGTGTGTGAATAACTTTGATTTTCTTTGAAGTGGTATTGGGTTTTGTTTCATTCACACGAATTTGTACACAATGTTTGACATTCTGTTTATTGAACTCACAATTGGAGGAATGCTTTATATAGAAACTTAATTACTGCTCAAATAATGCTTGAATTCGCCTAATGTTTCCTAAGACAAGAATATACAGTAATACAGTAGCTAATTATATTCACTAAATTTTTACACAATATGAAAACTTTATTCACAATTTATCGCATTTAGCTCTAGTTTTGAATTTAATTACTTTTGTAATTATCAAACAATTCTGTAATCTAAGGAATTTTATAATGAGTTCTTGTGTGGGTTTCTATAATATATTATAGAATCTATATTTGAATGCAAGTATTTATTCTGAAAGTTATGAATCATAAGGATTGAGACTCACATTAGTTGACATGTCTTTTGTGGCACATTTTCTCCGGAATAGAGTCACAGAAATAAAGTAGAGCCCAATTAATACAAATAAATGAGCAAATTTAGTCCAATGAAAACTATTGTAATTCAAGTGTCTATTATTATTGCAATCAATGTTTATATAATCTATTAAACCAAACAATCTGTATGAGGATTAAAAATTTTAAAGATTAATTACATAAGAACGTATATTAATATTCAAGTGATAGTGAGAGCATCAAGGTAATCAAATTATGGCAGACCTGGACATGATTTGTTGTGGGAGTGAAATGTCCCGGATATATGTAGTTTGATATAAAAAGAGTGCCACAAAATGGAGGCCAACATAAATGGCTAGAAGTAGTCGACAATAATGATAACCTGATCCCAGCGAACGGTTCAATGAGAGCCAACTGGCGATCCATAAGAAATATATGAAATAAAAGGCAGAACTGGCGGATGGGTTGAGGACAGCGGCACAGCATAAGAGCACTAAGAATATGGTTTCGGTTATGATTGCCGTGAATAAGGCCGACGTTTTCTGTGCCCTCAACTTCTTCTTATACTTGTCTTCCATAGCTTTGGTGTTGATATTAATGGAGACAGCGCTGAGTCCGGCCTCAGTCATCCTCCTCTCCCTTCTCTCCATGCGTTCCAATCGTTTGACTTCTTGCTCTTTAGCCAATTCTTGGCGCTCTCTCTCCGCTTGCAATTGACGGATATATACATCTTTAATGAACAGGTGAATAGCACCCGAGGCTATGAGTACACAGAAGTCGAGACCACATAATCTTAAAACAGCCCAAACGGACACACCGTTGAACCGATGGAGACCTATGAATGTATAGAGTTCTCCATTGGGTTCGCCTTACAGTTGAATCAAACAAACCATAAGAATATATTAAATAATGTTTGCGTTAATAGCGATTCAAACTTACAATAATCGAAAGATTCTCCGTAATTGTCAAAAGCAGCGAATAATAT